CTTTAAAACGACTGCTGGTTGTGTTGTTTGTCTTCCTTTCAGACGACGTTAATTACGCCTGCATTGTCTGTTGGCAAGAGGCAGACATTCATCTTTACAACACAAAGGTCGGGACCTTAATGATGTACATAGTCGGACCCATTATGCTGCCAAGCACTCAGAAAAGCTGAAAAATGTAGACGGTGCTTGATTACTGTTTCAGTACACATCAAGGCAACAATGAATAATGTGAATAAGTACTACAGTACGCATCCACACATTAGCAACTTCACAGTTTTCCGGAAATGATGGTGGTCAACGTTTCTTCTGACTTCCTGAAGGCTTTTTGTTTTTGTTTTTTGTTTAGGTAATGACTTTTTTTTTCTGTACAGACAGAGCTACCATGCAAAGTCTAAAATAACAGAGGTTCTTTATTACCACTTTAATACCATCCAGGTCAAGTGATTAACAAAGGAGTTTATTTTTTCAAAGACTCTTGTTCAAACTTCTGTCTTATCATAGTTTAAAAGCAGTGACGTATTTGTTGTTTGCTAGTGAACATGAATACTTAAACACCAAATTAACTCGTCATATTCCGTTTTAATGGTGTTCATTTTATGCATTGGTTTGATCTTTAATAAAACAAAGTAACAAAAGGAGCAAACTAAACAGATTTTTTTAAAAATATACACATTTTGAGAAATGTAACAATTCTGATTTTGCAAATTCATTTTGACTTTTTTTTTGTCAAAATGGTCAAGATCGTATAGGTGTTCATTTGTGACCTCAGATGTGTCGAAGATCACAGCCTTAGTGACCATTGAAATACTGAGTTAAACTGATTAAATAAGCCTGAATTAAAGTCCAAAAAATGTAAGAATGGCTCAATAGATTTGCAAAGTCGTGCCAAAGTAATCAAAGTATTGTCCCTGCTTAATTTCTTTATTAAATATGCCATCAAATTTAGTTTTCTAAAAGATGTTTTATATCTCATGGGATGTTTTGATTTTAGTATTTGAAACAACACATTGTTTCCAGTGTTTAACTTTTGACTGGGTCAGTTTGGATCTTTGTCAATTTATACTCACATTTTACTACTGACAGATGCTTTTTTATATATATTATCCCAACCAAAGTCCATACACAAGCTTTTATATTTGCATGTACAAAAGATTATTATGTACATTTTCACTTGGTAGTTCAGCACTTTGATGAATTATAAAGATTAAAAAAAAACATAAAAAACTGAAATTGCCTGCACAATTTTGTTTCTGTTTATTGTACAGTGGCTGTCATCCCAAATGTGATATGATTCATAGAACTGCACAATAGCTGAAAATCTTTTATTATTATTATTATTATTATTATTATTATTATCATCATCATTAAGTCCTTTATTTTATTTCCTCCAAGTATAAATAAGAATCATTAAAGTAAAAAGAAACATTTTAAACAGTTTTTCCCTCCTTCGGGAAGACGACGACCAATTATTTACCTCTTTGGTTTGTTTATTTTCAAACTGCAGGAATCATTGCTATGTATAATTTAAATTAGAGTCAAGTTTCTGGAAATTAATTATAGCTGTCAGATTTTTGTTTACCATTAATAATGCACTGTAGGCTGCGAACAATAAATCAACATAAACAACATGAAACTTGTCAGGAAAAATATATATATATAAGTGAAACATGACTACTCAGCTAAAAAAAAAAAGTATATTAATTTTACTGAGCTTTTAGTTAATGTTAAATCAGTGCAGAAAGAGAGCAACAGGGCGTCCCCTATGGAGCAATCAGCATGTTAATACTGCAGCAAAACACCTTAAAATCCTCCCTTGCATTGGAGCTCATTTCGGATACGCTAACAATAGCATTTAATTAGCGCACACTTACACCTGAGCATTAAGACTTTAAGCAGCAAAGTCTCTGTTGTTATTTCTCTCGTCTTCCTTTTTAATTATTCTGAATTGGCGTCTCGCTGCGATTCTCTGGGGCTTTAATTAGGAACTGAATTAAAGTTGTGTAAATACAGTTGGAACGCTGGAGAGTCTTTAAATAGAGCCGTGTTGCATCTGCAATTTCAGCTTCCCTTTTTTTCTGGAAGAGAAAACATTCAGAGTCTTTTGAAGTTTGTCAAATCGCTGCGGGCTTTTTCTCCCCGAGGTGATCCCGCAGATTGATACCGTTATTTTTCTCTCCAACGTCGTCTGCGACACAAAAAGCTATTTCTGTAAATGAGACTTTTATTTTTTTTTTGTTTTGTTTTGTTTTGTTTCTCTAAAGCTGTGTGAAAATGTGTAAAAAAAATTTGTTTGCACCCCTGCGTCTCTGCTTTCTCGCGCGTCGATATACTTTTACAAATAAAGGAACTCGGAAGCGTCACGCATAAACTCACCTGCCCGTGGATGTGTTTAACGCCTGATCCTCCTACTCCGATTGTCTGATTTGCTTTGAAAACCAAGAGCATGAGATTCGCCTCCCATTGGGCTGGATAAAATCCAAACTAAGTGCCTCGGCCCAGACTGCAGGCTTCTGCCTCGGAATAATAATGGGCTCTTTCAGATGTGTTTGTCATCAAATTAGCCCTCCACTTCAGACAAGGTGCTCTCAGAGAGCAGTTCTCGACAGTGATGGAATTCAAATTAGGCCGAGTCCGTTTGAGCGTTTTAAGCTTGAAACAAAAAAAAAAAAAGAGAGTGAGAGAGAGAATGAGTTTAATTTGCAGAGGTGATGTACGCAGTAGGAGGTAAAAAAAAAAAAAAAAATCACAGCGTTCGGGTTCATTGCAGCACTTTCCGTCCCGCGTTCCAGCTGCTCTTACAGCGATCTATGTCTAAAGTTGAAGCTTTCCAAGATTACGTGTGTGCTGTCAAGTAATTTTCTCCTGATCAAACGCTTATATTGAGCATTTCAAAAGTACAGTACAGCCAGACTCTTTAGCACATCCTGGAAACCTGATTCATTGTTAGTCTTCCTGCTTTGAATTTTTGTCTTCGAGACACCCAGGAGTTCTTCCTGCCTCTCTCTGCTTGACATGCTCTTCCTCTTTGATACCTTTGATCAACCCAGGAGGGGAAAAGTTGCCTTGAGAAGCACCATCACTCCAGCACAGCAGGGGGACACCTTGAGCAGGAGGGAGCGCAGAAGAAGGGATGGAATTTCCTGTTTTCTTCCCCTCTGGCACAGTCTGTCTCGCAAGCACACGCTCTCTAAAAGGTTCAGCAATAATTGAAAGAGTAATTCTGGACTCAAAATAATTCACATGAAAGTGATGGGTGTAAACAACTATTTTACCCTGGGTAAAATATCGGTGTACAGGTGCTGCGAAAAGATGTTTGGCCTTTGCAACGTTCGACTCTGGTACCAGTAAATGTTTCTAAACATCTTGATCCCAAAGATTTTTGAAAAAGATAAAAACTTCTCAGGGCTGATGAGGCAAAAGTGAAGTCTTGTGTTTTGTTACACTTGGTTTAAAGTTAACACAGCATTTCAATATCAGATCATCATGCTGAAAGCAAAACACAGTGGTGATAGAGTGATGGTCTGGGGTCAAAATGTTGTTTCAAGAACTGAGAGATTTCCAGTTTTTTATATAAATTACTAGAAAACACTGAATGTCTGGCAATCAGTTTCTATGATCTTATCCTCGAGAGCTCTCGGGTTATGAACAAGGACAATAATCTGAAGCATGTTAGCAAGTTCACCTCTGAAAGCAAAAAAAGAAGAAAAATGATACTATGATGATTTTGGTATTGCCAAGTCAAAGTCTGGACTTCAGTTCATCCTAAAATAGCCTTAAAAGTGACTGAAGTCAAATAATCCTGCAAAGTTTTGACAAATAGCACAAGCCTTTGATTGCCTTTTTTTCTGTTAAATGAATATATTATTTAAGTATCGCATTATGGATTGACTGAGCTTGCTTTTGAAGAGATGGCAGCACTATTGCCTTGTTGCAAGTAGATTGTGAGTTTGAGTCCTGGCCTCCTTGCTGAATGGACTTCACATATTCTCTCTCTCTGTGTGTGTCGGGTCTCTCTGGGTACTCCAGCTTCCTCCCACAGTCCACAAACTTGATCGTTAGGTCAATTTGTTTCCCTAAATTGCCCTTTGGTGTGCGTGCACCGTTTTCTCCCATGACAACCGTGCACAGGAGCACTTTGTGTTGCCTTGTGCTATATAAATAAAATTACCTTTACCTATGTGTCTGTGTGACCTCCCTCTCACCCAGTGACCGCTGGAGATAGCCACCAGCTTCCCTTCTGACCTGCGCAGACAAGTGGATGAATGGATGAATATTTTAGTGAGAATAATTCTACTTTCACATTGGGAGCGTCGCTGCTGAAGATACATGGCCACTAGTAAAATACTGAAGTCAGGAAGATCGATCATCTTGCTGCATTGTGTTGGATCGCAAAGTTGCACGAACGTGAACACACCGGCTATTCTTAAACAGATAGAATATTTATTTTAACTCTGTGAGGTGAGATCAGTGCTTATGTTGGGGAAAAAAAATAAAAGGTATACAGAAATTCGCAACTGAGTATAATGGGGGGCTTTTTTTATTATTATTTGTACATACTAAAACAAAATGGGTTAAAATTGCAATTGAAATGGTTGAACCTTGAAGACATTTGTATAAACTACAGATTCCTCTGACAGAACATGTACTGAAGGAGTTAAACTTTAAACTCAGAGCCCATGCATCCCACTAAATGATGGATTTTGCTTAAAAAAAAAAAAAAGTCTCCAGCTTCACTCCAAGTGAGTGCATCACTTTTAAAAGAACTCCCTAATCTCATTTCCGAAAGAAACCCAACACATGCAGAGGAAGGCTCTAAATGGGCAAAAAAAATATATATATATCTTATTTCCAGAAAATGTATGGCGGTGAGACGGGGGGACTGAAATAGCTTCAGATTGTCTGTTGAGCACAAGCAGGATACTTTGTAATGGATTGTTTTTGTCTGGGTGTCGCTCCTTTTTTTTATTTATTTATTTCTTTTTTTCTTTTCTCCCCTGCAGGGCTGAAGCAGATCCATGCCCTGTCCATCCAGGGGAACTATGAGCTGCGCATCGACTTGGAGGACTTTGAAAATAGCACAGCGTACGCCCATTACGGCACCTTCGGTGTGGGTCTCTTCTCTGTGGACCCTGATGATGATGGATACCCTTTGACGGTTGGAGACTATTCTGGCAACGCAGGTATGCGTCTTACGTAGGCTCTCGTTTTCTTGCGAGTTGTGCCGTGCTTTTGCTATGACAAGACTCTTCAGACTGAAATGTAGCTACTGCTAAAAACGGAAGCAGGGGACACCTACAACCGGCTCCTCCTCCATTCTCCCTTCAACTGTGATAGCAGTGCAGTATTTTTACAGCGCAGGAGGCGTGTCCACTGCTTAAGGAGTGCAGTTTGTTCCACACACACACACACGCACACAGAGAGGGAGGGAGAGGTACAGAAAGTGGTGTTGTCTCTGCTCCCTAACCATCAGATCCAAGCCAGCTACCTGTCACCTTGATTAAATTACTGGCAATTAATTGCACAGCTTGACCTGCAGCGTAAACAAAAACCTGCCACTGAAATGAAGAAGCAATTTAAGGGTCCTGTGGGGAGCACCGCTTCGAGAACACCGAGAGAACGGGGACAAATATGAGAGACGCAGAAGGGAGGAGTCGGGTTGGAAGGAAAAGCCAGAGGAAGCAGGTGTACCGAGAGATGAGCTGGGCTAAATAAAAACCCGGATAGTTCTGTCGACAGTGCCTTGCAAGACTGTTAATGGAACACGTTTTATTGGGATTTTATCTAATGGATAGCTGTGAAGTGGAAGAAAACGATGCCTTGTTTTTTTGTTTTTTTTTAATTCTTTCCAAATAAAACTCTGAAAAGTTTGACCAGCATTTTTGTTCCATCCAACTTCATGCTGAACTTAGCATAACATTCATAAACTTTACTGATTACCTGTATGATTCATCCAATATCTCGGATTTGATTCAAATATATATATACCTCTCTGTCTGAGATCATCAAATCAAAACATTTCAGTGGTCTTCCAAACTCGCGACCGTGGATTGCGATGCCCAATCCTTCCTGCAGAGTTCAGACGTTCAAATAGCAACTAGAGACATTCTCACAAATAAGACTTTTCGCTAAACCTGAGCTGTTACGACATAAACTTTTGCTTGCTTGCTTCAGTATTCGCAAAAAGTCCTGTGTGATTGCAGTCCATCTATGCGATTTCAAGCTCCCCAGACACCATGTTGGCTTCCCTCCAGGTTTTGCTGCTATTCTTATTAGCACCATTTGCTGCTGCTGTCCTTCTCTCCGATCAGCCGACAGGTGCTCATTTGCACCGTGAGCAGCTGGATCGTAATGGGCATCAGAGGAGGCTGCCGGCCCCCTCAAACCACCAAGGTGACACCCGGTGCCTTGTAAATGAGCCTTTAAGTGCCACTGTTGTTTTTTTCCTCCTCCCTACGCCCTCTGGACATCAACCTGTTGTTGACACCACTGGGGGCCTTCCCATCTCCCCTTTGCTCCGTTCACTAAATATTTTCCTGCTAACGGCAAATTGGATGGGAAGACGCGAATACGAGGCGTGCCGTGAGGTTATTTTTCCGTCTGAGAGGGTTACCATAGTAATGCCAAATGGGGAGTGTGAGCGGGGCAGAGCAAGAGAGAGGGTGGAGGAGCTTCACAGCCCCAATCCGAGCAATTAAGTGCCGTTTGATGCCCTCTCTGGCTGCTGTTAGTGATCACCCGATGGCTGGTAAGCAGCCTTTCCTTCGGCTCACAGCTCTGTCCTTCTTTTCACTCTCTGGCCCCCGATGTGAAGTCAGCTTTGGAAATAAAGGGGAGAAAAGAGATGAACGGAGCAGCGTGGGGGGAGTTCATTGCACATTATGAGCTCTTTGAACATCCATTTGCGAAAAGAAATCAAGAAAATTCGGGCTTACTGCTGCATCTCTGAGGACGTTCCTCTCATTTTACTTGTAAGTCTTTAAAAGCAGGGGCTTTTCGGAGGCGGTTATCGTCGTTGAGAAATTGCCAGCGAGAAATCTTTATGTGGTGGGACGATGTTTCCAGCTCAGCAATTTGATTGTGGGGATCAGACTTAGCATCCAGACCATGATTAAGGGCACTTGGCTGTGCCGCATCCCTGCAGTGGTCTTACATCACTGTCATATTCACAATCGTGGGCTGGAGAAAAGCGGGCCCTCTCATTGATTATGCTTTTAAAGCTTTTTGTACCAGCAGAAGGGGGGGGGCGAAAAAATGAAAGATGCCCTGAAGAATGAAATCAAGATATGACATTATGCCTCTGTTAAAACATTTACATCAAAAGATAAACATTAAAGCCTCTCCGAGTGCCACATATCCAGACGAATCCATCAAGCGTGTGTTATTAAAAGCCATAAAGGTCACAAAAGAAAGTTTGATGAATTGGCTGCCAAGTGGCCTGACCTCCCGCTTCAGATAATGAGAAGAAAATATTCTTCAGAACAGTGGAGCTCTATTTTTATTTCTTTCATTCTGTTTACCCTAATGGGCAATTTATTATTTTTGCCTCTTTAAAATAACTGTGAATATATGCAATCAGAATAAGATCAAAGAAAATACACATCGTGTTTCCTAAGTAGTCATGAGCGCAGCTCCTCGCTAACTTCCCCACATTTAGTCACATCACAGCCCTAAACTTTATGTGATGCACCAACTCAAAGCTATGTATGATTGTAAAGTGAAAAAGGGTTAAGGTTAGGGTTGGGTTGGGTTTTTGTTAAATCACTATACAGTTCAATTCAAATGGGTTATTTAGGGAACCAAAGAAAGGAAACTGACCTCTTACTTTGGTGTCATTTACAAAACAAAACCCCAAAAGCAGGTGTGACAACACCTTGTATTATTGAAATTGACAAAAGTAAAATCAGTTAATGAGACCAAAATGTAGCATTTTAGCCTACATGCAAAATGCTTCTTTGCTTTGGAAAGCCAGTCAGAGGTGGTAGGAAGTGGATATCTGTTTTATACAGGACGATGCAAATAAAAATAAGAGTGTTTTTGAGGCATCCTACGGATTTGAAACCGGGATGGAGGTCACTCTTCCAGCACTGCATACAGCCACTTCAAAAATGGAAGAGTTTGGACCAGTTTAAAACGGCCCAGTCAAAGCCCAGACCTGAATTTTAACAGCAATCTATGGAAACACTTACAAGTTGCTTTTTATAGCTTGACCAAGCTACTTTTTTTTTTTTTTTTT